TTGAATTTTTATTTATCCTTCAATATATAATAATACTGTAGTTTTTCAATGTTAATTTTGCTCGTACTTAAAGAATTATTCAAAAAGAAGAACGGATTTTTTATTGTTACCTGCTGGAAGATTATGTATGTATGCCAATATTAACCCAAGATTGCATAATGGAAAATTGAGAGCCGCCCATTGAATAAGTTATTCAATGCCTTCTTTGTTCATCATGAATAAAGCATTCTTGTGTATGCTTCATTCATTACTAATAAAACAGGCATTTAAGAAAAAAATGATAATCAGCACAAGGTCATATAGCCATGTTGTGTGACCCTGGACTTATGGAAGATATGAGCCTGTATCTGGCATACTGTGAATGTCAGTTATTGTACTTAGTGCAGTCATCCTGCACAGTTTCAGAATATTTTATTTAACTTGATTCTGATTAACCGAATTTTAGATACTGGAAATCAAGGATGATCAGGTATATCCTGTAAATATTAGAATGTAGCAGTGTTAATGAAAATCCTCATTAGTAGAAAGATACCACGGTTAGATTAATTGTAATGCTTTTAATAATAAGGACCAATTTGGTTTGTAGACAATACATGCAGTGCAGCAGGTTGGTTCCATAAATTAGAAAAAATAGTTTTTGAGATAGCAAGAACTGCAGATGCTGGAGTCAGAGATGACACAGTGTGGAGCTGGATGAACACAGCAGGCCAAGCAGCATCAGAGGAGCAGGAAAGCTGACATTTTGGGTCAGGACCCTTCTTCAGAAAATAGTTTTTGATTGTGTTGAGCCTTCAGTTTAGGCTGAATGGCTGGAGTCCTGCTTTAATGAGAGCATGACTTCTAACAATTTCTACTATATTAACAGAGTTGTTTTTATTTTTGCTGAAGTAATATTCAGTGAGCACCAGCTGTCCTCAACTATCTCATCCAAATAACAATTCATCATGTGTGAGCACAATGGTGAGTGCTTTTGGATGTTGACTAAAGAGCTTTGATCCTGGTCTCATTCAATGCCTGCCAGCCTGTACTTTATAGTAGAAGTCATTGGAAAGGAATCCTAACTAATTTTTTTTTCAACAAGTACAGCAATCCTGAGACCAAAGATGAGACTTTCATGGAGAGGAAAGACCTCCATACATTAACCAAATAGGGTCCAGAACCCTGAATCTGGAAGTCCCATTATTGTATCTGGCATGCACCATTCTTGCCAGTAGTGAGAGGGGACAGAATGTATTTTACACATCCCCCGCCTATGGAGCAACAGCACTTTCACAAGCGCAGCCACTCGGAAACAATTTCCATCTGAGGTTTTTGAAGGACCATTTATGGGATTTACAAATTTGAGAAAAAGGCCTAAACTCTCCAGAGTTCTTTAAAGAGGTCAGGTATCCCTTTTGGATTATTAAGAGTGGGCATAAATGTGCATAGAGGGTGAATAAGGTGTGTGAAATTGCCAATTGTCGAGGAAGTCAAAATCTCTGCTCCTTAAATTAAGAAAAAACTTGCTGTGTTTCAGTTAGAGAGAAAAGGTGTTTTCAATGTCATTGGATGTTTGTTGACATAATTCTGAGGCCTATCATTATAGTATTGCATATTCTACAATTAACGCAGTGGAATGCTTGTAAATTCACAATTTTATTGACAGTTCTAAGCAGTTATAAAGAGATTATATATTTTTGATGTGGTGCCAAAGGACTGGTAGTGTTCTTGCTCCTTAACCAGAAGCTACAGGTTATATCCCATACCAGCATTTGTTAGCCATGGAGGGTGAATTTGTAATGTGGCCAAACAAGTTGATTGTAAATCCTTCCAAAATGTCTATTGGTAGGTAGTAAGAATGGACAGATTTCCTTATCAGCCAAGTTGCAGAAGGCAACATCAAACCATTGCAGTAGTTAGTTTTTCTATAGAATTAAGTACTTGAAAGAATTTAAATGTATTGAATGGCATTTTACAATAAGTGATTTTTTTTGACATAATAAAGTATACAATAAATACTTAGAGCACTTCTTTTTCTTATCACATTCTGGCTACTGAGGTCTGCCCATGGGGGATAAGTATGAGTTGGCATGGATGGTGTAAGCTCAAAAGTTAGATAGTGGCGATCATAGTTAGGCACGAGTTGGTACGAAGTTGGTGTGGGGCTACACATGATAAGACAGAGGGGCATAGCTTGATATTGAGGGTTGAGGGACCATGGAAGACAGGTTGGGGGCTTGAGGAATCATAAGTTGAAATGGGTAAATGGTGATAAGGGACTTTTTTAATATAACTGGAACAGTGTCCCAGAGCACCATGGAGGACCTTTTTAAATACCCTTCCTCAACATTTGGAAACCCTGCTGTCAGCCGCCTGTACTGATTCTGGGAGTAACAAGCCTAACGTCAATTAGCACCCTTCTCCCAACCTCCCTATTTGAAAACTATTTGGATAGGTTTCTGCTAAGCTGAATTTTGAGATTCAGTCATTTTCCCAATGCTGCCATGTGTCTCACGAATGAAAATTTGTAGCTTTCCGACTGTTACACCATTTGAAATTGGTGAACTGAGCCCTGACTTGTCATCAAGACTTTGACCTCTCTAGGCTGCATAGCTCAACACCTTGCATACCAATCAGGCAACTAGCAAAGACCAAGTTGGGCATTAATTCCATATGCAAGTGCATTGCATCAAGTTTAGCTGCTGGAATAATGTGCTTAACCACACCCAAAATTTAGACTCTGCCTCCATTTACTTGAGACCAGCAAGTGGCAGCCATTTTTGGATTGCTCCCAAGCTGCTCATCAGTGAAGATTTTAATTTTCTAATGGATCCTGAGAGAGGTGGGGAAACAATCAGGGAGGAATTGGTATTTGGGAGACTGGAAAGCAATTGATAATGGATAGGATGAGGTGGTGCTGAAGGAGAATTATGTCAGCATATTTGCTGCTGAAACCCTCATCAAGTCTTTGCTGCCCCTAGGATTTACAGCTCCAGCACATTCCTGGATGGCCACCATATTCCACCTTACATAAACTTGAGGCCTTCCAAAGCCCTGCTGCCTGTTCCCTTGCTCACACTAAGCCTCACCAATCACCCCAATGCTCACTGACTGTACTAACTCTCAATCAAGCAGCATCTTAATTTTAAATTTCTCATTTCTGTTTTCAAATCCTTCCATTGTCTTTCCTGCTCCCTATTTCTATAATGTGCTGCAGGTCACAGCCCTCCAAGCTTTCTGCACTCATCTTGAGTGCATCACCAGCTCTCATCTAAACCTGGTTTCCTGATTTTAACTACTCCATCATAGGTGGCGGTGAATTCAACTGCCTAGACCTTAAACTCTGAAGTTGTCTCCTAAACCTTTTTATCTCACTCTTTGCTCCCTTAAAACCCTCTTTAAAAACTGTATCCTCGACCAACATTTGCTATATGCACCAAGAGCTCCTGGTATGGCTTTCAGGCTAATTCTGCTTTGCTATTCTCCTCCAAATGCTTTGAGATATTTCACAATATTAAAAGTGCCATATAAATTTGAGATTTTTTTCTTGTTGCTCAAATGGAGGTGGTGCAATAGCTGAAGAATTCAGGTAAGTTTTTTTTTCCTTTTTGCTGGGAATCTGAAATGACCCTTTAAGGTCTGTCAAATGTGCACCACATATCCCATGCCGGCTGTGTTCAGGGCAGACCAATTTTATAGGCCTTCATCTCACTCTATGCATATGAAAATCTCCTAACATCATTTTCAGCTGTAGCCCTTGGACACTTCTATTTCTACCTTTACCAATACGCTGGGAACCTCACTTCTGGTACTTAATGCATGACCCCACAACCATATAGAGGTGGTGCCATTGAATTTCCAGACAAAACATTGAATGGCTATATATCCATCGGCACTGAATGGCAGGTTAAAGCTGTGGAAAAATAGGATAGAAACTTCGTTAGCCATTGGAATAATTCTGACCAGATTTACGTGTTTTACATGGAGCACTTCCATAAATTTAATCATGTAGCAGCTTGTGCTTAAAAAGAAGAGTTGTAATATACTACCATTGGCTGAGGAAGATTTTGGAATCTTCAGTTTGTTTCCTTATTAATTGAGCTGATTCAATCCAGGGCAGCATTCTAGTGCCCCATTTGCTTCAGATTAGTGAACATGAAAGGGTGTGTTTTAATTAGAGACTATTCAACCCATTTTGCTTTGTTTCTGATTTACAAGAGATTATAACTACAAGAGAAACTTGTTGACAGAAGTTGATTAAGGTATAATGGATGGAATGCAATGATTATATTCCACATCCTCATTGTCCATACTATTCCATGTTAAAGAAAAATGTAATTTGTAAAGGGAGTGGAGGAAAATAAAAAAGTTTTCCTGAAAAATCTAGCGAGATGAACAGATGACCGTTATCTAACAGGAATGAAATATATAAACCTTCAAAACAGATACATTATTCAAATATATGCACAACCAGGAGAATATTATCCTAAAAAATCCCTGTTACATGAACATAGCATAATACTCCTTTTATTTATTTTGATTTAAACATTTATCAAACCAGTGCAAATACAAATCTGCATATTTAAATGAAAATGGATATAAATATGCACGAACCATTCTGCATGTTAAAAAAATGTTTTATTTATACCAAGCATTGAATGCACTTTGAACCATAGAAGTATTTTTTGAACCAGTGCTATTTTCTAAAAATTGTTAAATTAATTCTTGAATAATGCTTCACAATTAATGATAAATGACTTGTGTAGCATGTCGTTTGCTAATTATATCCATGATTTACTGCATTGTAAGTCTTAAATCATTCATTTCAATAGCATATAGAATGCAATAAAGTTTAAGGCTTTGAAATTATTTGGTATGTTCAAACTCATTTAGGCTTTTATTTAACTTATGATTTTTCTTTCTTCATCAAACTAGAGAAATAGTTTCTTGTTATAATCCAACTTGGGGTGGAATATTTGTCTGCAAAAATAAAAGCTTACTACTTTCTTTCAATTATTTAGGAGAAAAGCCGTACAAGTGCCCTCATTGTGACTACGCAGGAACCCAATCAGCATCCCTGAAGTATCACTTAGAACGCCATCACCGGGAGCGGCAGAATGGAACAAGTCCTTTGTCGGGTCAGTCTCACATACATCAAGAACATTCTGAAGAGACAGCAAACAAAAGCCAGGTTTTTATCAGACCAGAGATACTGAGAGGAGTATCAAAAAGTGTGCCAGGAACTGACCTTAGGAGTGGCCTGGTCCCTCAGCAGTGGCCTATGGGAGTTCTTCCATCTGCAGAATGCCATGGACTTGGATCTGGTGTCACAACAGAGCATCATTCTGAAAATTTGAAAACTACTTCTGAAGTATGTAGTGAAGAAACTCCCAGTCTTTCTGATCTGAGCAGAGCTTTCCAGAGCCTAGCCGGAAATGGAGTCAATTTTCAAGGGTCTTTGCAAGCTTTTATTGATACTTTTGGACTGAGATCTTTGGAGAAAGAAAAAGAAATGATGGAAAGAGTCTATAATGAAACCACAAGTACAAAACAGGCTAGCTCAAAACCAACACTTGAGAAACATACAAAGAATGTAGGTTCGGATGATTGTGAAGGAAGGGCTGAAGGTCAACCATCCGCAGGAAAAGCAGTTATCAAATCTAGATCAACTGCAGAAAAATCCCAGTTTGAACCATTGGATCTATCTGTGAGACCTCCTTCACGTGATTCTGCCTCAGTCCCCGGTGCAACCATTACCATTCAGGATAATATTACTTGGCATGGGTGTCTATTCTGTTCTTTCACAACTTCATCAATGGAATTAATGGTGCTTCATCTTCAAGCAAATCACCTGGGAAAATCAAAACGGAAGGAAAATCTTTTAGGAATTGCTGGAAATGGAAATGATCTTCAAGGTGAGCCTTCATCTGTTGCAAAAAAAACCTGTCTGCCAGTTTCTTCTGTTGTTAATAAGCAAGATGTGATAGCTGCAAAGCCACTTGACAAGGCTGATTCCTCCACTGATAAGATTTCACAACATAGCCAATCTAGTGATTCTTTGGGAGACCACAAGAAGCCTTTTGTTAACACCTTGGACTCCAGCCTAAGTTCTCTAGTCACAGATTTTTACAAACAGTTCAATAAATATTCAAATGTTGGTGGTCCAGGAACACCTATCTTGAGTACAGCTCATGAATCTGAAATGAAATGTCCATCTGCCAATAAACTGAACCTTGTTTCACCAGGAGCCGCAAGCATGAGTCCTTCCGGTGAAGTCAGTAATCAACCATGCAGTGATGACACAGGGTCTGTAAGTGATCAACATGTGGATGATCAAGATGCATTAGCAGACATAAACCAACCGTTAACGTCTGATGAAGAAAGTTCTGACGAGGAAGATCCGATCCATAGTGCAGCTCTTTCACAAGGATCACAGAACCTTCTGAGCTCCATGGGTAAACCTCAAGGTGGACCTTGGCACAATTTAAATTTTCTGCCATCTCATGATATTCCACCAGGACTGGTCAAACAGGAGCATGTCCATGACCACCAGCTTCTGGACCAGCAGATGAACATGCTCTCTGTTCTGAGAGCTTACAGCACAGACAACATGGCAGCTTTCAATGGTATTGGAAATAGTTCAGTCAGCGGCAGCAGCACTAAGAGATCAGATTTATCAGGTGGGTGTCAAATAACTCCAACTTTCAAAAAGCAATGAACCCATTAGTCAGCTTAAAAACCCTTTAGAGTACAGCTTTATGGAATTTCAGTATAACTTCACAATATGCACCTACTCTCTACCGTTAACTCGTCCCTTTTCTCAAGTTTGCACGTCAAAATTGAGACCATTCTTTTTCAGATCAATTATTATAAGTATTCACAGCTAATGTTTAATAGCTTACAAAGTCTTATTAGTTACAGAAGCATAGGATTAGGATTTAATTATTGGGCGAGTTACTCATGGAACTGAAAAAGATACTGGGCATGTTTCATTTGATAGATAGATACCATTACAAGTGAAGCATCATGTTGTTACTTTCTACAGAGTAACTAGAAAATTGTGTTGGAGTTTGTTTACGGACTCTATAGCCTTTCAGTTGGTCTTTAGTTGTAACACATATTCCACCAGAACAGAATTAGAGCTGATAAATGCACTACCTGTAGCAGCAGTAGTCTAGTATTACTAGCAATCTAATTGTGCAGTCCAATTAAGTATCTGTCAAAGTTTGAAAACAATTCTATTTGTATAATGTACAAAGTCTGCAATCCTAGAAGATAACTGGCTACACACAGAAAAATGTACAGTAAATGTTATGGATTTTTTCTTTTAAATGATTTACTCTTGAAATCAAGGTGTTTTTCTGACTGATATCCATTTTATGGGATTTTCTTATGTACTGTACATCTCAATTTTTTGGAAGAAAGTCTTCACTTTGAAATGAGAAAGATATTTATTGTGTTTTTTTAATACATTCATGGGATTTGGGAGCCATGGGCAATGTCAGCATTATTACCTGTTCCTTTTGGCCTGGAGAAGATGCTGTTAAGCCACCTATTTGAACTGCTGCAGTCCGTGTGGTGAAAATTCTACCACAGTGCTGATATGTAGGGAGCTCCAGAATTTTAACTCAGTGTGATGAAGGAACACTGATGTATTTCCAAGTTGGGATCGTGTGTTAATTGGAGGGGATTGTGAAGTGGCGTTCCCATGCACTTGCTGTCCCTGTTCTTCTAAGTGGTGGAAGTCATAGATTTAGGAAGTATTGCCAAATAAATTTGAAATGTTTACATCTTGCTCACTTAACTACAGTCACTGCATTTCAATATAATTAATTCCATGTGAAACACTTTGAGAGATGTGATCGTCGTAACATGAATGGAAGACTTTCTTATTTCAATAGATCCTTATTCTTTGTTGTACACAGGCATACTTTCACTGCAGTTTTGTGCACAGATTCAATTAAATCTAAATAATTAGTCAATAACCAAAGTGAATCTTAAGATATGGACAGTAGATTTCAGTTTGATATTCTCTTAACTAATTAATGAAGTAGTGATGATTTGATGTAGTTGACCACACAAGGAAAGAACGGGATAAAGCTGAATTGAATAGAAGTACTAAGCATGGCATGCACAACCTTGTTAAATTCAAAACAGGCAGAACAATGGATGAACTTACTTTTAGTTCTTATGTTTCAGCTGTGTAGCCAATACTAATTTTGTAAAGTCAGGTCCATATACATAAACATCTTTGCTTATACGTTTTACTTTGCAAGAAACAAGATCGGATGTGTGCCCAGCATTGTATTTAGGACTATTTAAATTTGCATCAATGCCAGCTCATACCCAAAACCTGTTTTTATTTTTGTAAAGTCACAAGATATATTTTTCTCCTAGCTTGCCCATTGGTGTATAAGGCAGACAAAGTGCATGCTCTTATCAGTTTCTATAGATAGGTTTTTCTGGAACAGGTCATTAGCCTGTCACTAGAGCTTTAATTTGAGGTGAGCTACGCCACATCAAGCATGACTGACCAGGTGCCTCACTCACTCACTCATTTTGCCTGCCATATTGGAAAGTTTTCCATTTTCCAGTAGTTGTCAGCTATAATTAAAATGGTTACTACAGTGGCTCTGACTACTGCAGTGAAGGCACTTAACTTACACTGAAGCAGAGATAAATTTGAGTGACCTGCTGTTCTGTCACATTGACCCATTAATTACATAAACAGATTTTTATTAGATTACTGTGACAGTAAATGTCTCATGGTAGTAGAGTATGTGGGACTGATAAAGGGTCAAAACACTGTCTTATTCTAGAAGAAGGGGACTTTTTATTTATCAGTGACCAAAGTGGTTGGTATTGTCAACTTTTGTCAAAGTGAAACATTCACTTTGCTGCTGATTGCAAAAGTCAAATTAATTTATCCATATTATGAAAGACTGATAAAAATAGAGAGAAAAAGCTTGTTACTTTATTTTAAGAAAAACGTCTTTTGGACTCTCAGACGTAAAACATTCAGCTTAATGAAATACTGCATGCGGTAATTCGAAAACAGAGGAGTGGGAACTCTAAACATAATCATGCACTGGAAGAGGCTGAAAGAAGATGCATGAAAGTAGAAGTATGTAAGAAAGGACAGATGAAAATAGATGGTGCATTTCACAATGTAATTTATACATATACATTAACTGAATGTAGGAAACATGCCCAAGAAATTATAGACATTGTACAGTACAACACTGAACTCATGTCTAATCACCTGAATTCTATGATTGTGTTATGACCTTTTATATACAGTTTGATAAAATTTATATGTGCATTTTTGATTTATTATTAAAAATATGCCCATTAACTGTGTAAGATTGGTGTGCATGAGGTTTGGGTAAATGTGCAATAATTTACTATGAGGCAAATAACAGGAATGATCGAGGAATTGAGATGGAACTACATAGGGCGATCATGTCATGTAATAGAAAGCTAAGTAGTTTTTTTTTGATATGATACTGTCTGAAGCTTTGTAAATTGCCTGGTATATCATATCACAGATGTAACATGATTCCTGTGATAATAAGGAATCCACATAAAAGCCTTTCACTGGAATGTTAAAAAAAAGTACTGTAAATGCTAGAAAACTGGAACAACAACTTAAAATGCTGAAAATACTCAACAGGTCAGACAGTATCTGTGGAGAGAGAAATTGAGGTAATATCTCAGATTGACAGCTTTCATAAAATGTACAAAGGAGCTGTTCACAATATTTCATTATAAGTAAAGAATAACATCGGTGAATCAAAGGCAAAACTTGGGAGTTTACAAGCTCTTGTAAAGTATTTTATATGCTTGATAAAATTGTGCTAAATTTCAATAGATTCCACTTTCAGCGCAGAGTTGAGAAAACCAAATATAGCGCTGGGAATTAGTCATATAGGGAGGTGGTGGCACAGTAGTAATGTCACTGGACTACTAATGCAGGAATGCCCAGGCTGATGCCCTGTGGGATGGAGGTTCCTGCTGTTGGAATTTAAATTTGATTAATTAATGAATCTAGAATTGAATGCTAGTGTCAGCAACAGTCATCATAAAACGATAAATGATCGTCATAAATGTCCATCTGGCATGCTAATGCCCTTTGGGGAAGGAAACCTGCTAGCCTTACCTAGTCTGGCTTATATGTGACACCAGACCCAAGGCAATGTGCTCAACTCTTAACTGCCTGTGAAGTGGCTGAGCAAGCAACTAAATTGAAGGGCAATATGGGATGGGGCCACAAATGCTGACCATGTCAAAAATATCCAAATCTCGTGAAAGAAAATAAATAAAACAAATTATTTGTAGGGCTCACAATTTTCTGGTCATTGATGTAAAGGATGAAAAATTTGGGAACAGGAGAGTTTGATGTGTGCATCCCTGCACATGCCTCTCGGGCCCCTGTGCCTTTAAGTACCAGCATACTGGAAGCAGAACCTTTTATATTAAATTGTGTTTTATTTTCAGTCATTTATGCATTAACTCTGTATCTCAGTTTTCCACATTGTTAACCTTTCTTGTAACTCCTTCACTAAGTTAAATAAATCCATTTATAACAGATTTCCTACTTTATAGTAAAATGTTCTTTACATATCTTCCAAAGATAGGCAGCACAGAGGAATAAAGTGTTTGGTTTTCCTTGGCTTTGAACTAAAGAAGTTAAATTAATGCAATTGAATATGTCAGTTAGAAATAAATAGTGTAACTGAAATTCCCAAATTTTCCAAATATCTTTAATAATTTATGTTGCTTTTATATGGCATCGCTATTCATATGGACAAAAATTCATGTACAGTTAGACAAATATAGACACAAGAGGCATGCCAGCAACTGGACTTCCAAACATACTGAAGTAAGATTTGTAAGAGCATTTCCACTGGCAATCAGTATTGATTCATTAGTATTGGCGGATTTGGAACAAAGGCAACTAAATGGAGTTGAGGTAAATATTAGTCATGAACCAACTGAACAGCAGAACAGACTTGAGGGCCAGAATGATCTACTCTTATTCCAAAGTTCTCATTTTCCTACATTGTCCTAAAATCACTGCACTTCTTCCTAGGGATGTAATCATGTTTTAAGAATGGGAGGGGAGAACATCAGAGGCAAATCTGCGATGTGAAGTAAGGAGAGAGAAATGAAATACACACCAGCAAACACAAGCAGTAGTGCATTCTGCTCCCCCACCCCCAGGCCCCGCCCCCTCCCCCGCCACTGTTCAATCCCCAGTAGTTGCACCAATAATTTTCTCTCAGCATGGATTCATATTAGTAGATCGGGCACGAAGCTGATGGAGAGCCAATCTTCAGTTGTGTGCAGGGAGTTTGCTGCATGTCCTCCTGTACACAGACCTACTTTTGACTCTTTTAAATATTATAAGGGAAGCACTATGTCTATCAATGTCCATAAATGTTACCATGTCAGGCATCAGGGAGTGAAGCTCCAGAAAAAGAATCCAAACATTGACGTAGAGAGACTTTCATTGCCAATTGTCTTACAATTATAAGAGATAGTAGGAACTGCCGATGCTGGAGTCTGAGATAATGAGGTGTGGAGCTGGAGGAACACAACAGGCCAGGCAGCATCAGAGGAGCAGGAAAGCTGACGTTTCGGATCTGGACCCTTCTTCAGAAATTACAGTTATAGTTTT